CCAAGCTGGACAAGGGCAACAAAACATCCACGATGCAGAAGATTTCTCTCAAAACAGGGGGGGTGAGGTTCTAAGCCTCACCTCTGTTGATCCTCAATTTCTCACCTGATGGCCCCCCTGTGACTGTGCCTGTCTTAGGTTGTTCCTCCCTTGAGGAATCTTACCCGTCTCTGGCTAACCAGTCATCTTCTGGGGCCATACAGGGAAATATATACCCGTCTTTTGAGTCAAATTAGAGAAAATCAATTACTGGGATCCAATCAACTCTGGATACACTGAAAATGTCAGAGTTCCAAGTGTGCCAAAATGAGGACCTGCTCCTGGATCCTGGTGACCACCTGTGAGGTACTAGTTGGATGGTAACTGGCTGACTTCTGCAGAGTTCGTTTCCTTGTCCCTCTCCCACTGCAAAGGATGGAGTAGGTTTGAACCTTGGATTCCAGTCCAAGGAGGAATTTTTCCTGGTAGTAATATAAAAGTTTCAAGTAATAGATGACAAAATGAAACTGGCATTGCAGGGCGATAGTGTGGCTGATGAACTAACTAAAAGAGGAAGTGTGAGGAACCAAGGACGACCGGTGGGTAAGCCACTCATGAGGAGATGGAACCTGAACTAGGATTAGAGCATAAAACAGAAAGGAAAGGCCTATTAGTAGGAGGGTCAGAATTGGTGACTGAATGGCACAGGGTATAAAGAAGTGGTCTCAAAAACGACTGAGGCAAATGTGAAGCCCATCACAGGTTATTTAAAAAATCTGACAAAGTAAATCCTCTGCTTTTAAAAGTAATACTTAATATACACGAAAACCTCTCGAAAATGAATTTTCTTTTTATTATACATACTTAGCATAAGAAACAATGTTTCTAGAGAAAAATTCTACTTTTCCCTTCTTTTATGAGGAAGCATCTAATAACAGGTCAAATATCTACACAAAAACCCCAGGTATACTGGCCTCCTTAATCCATCATTAACATCAATACCTCACAGAAAGCAACTGCAACAAAGATTTTTTCAGTCGGTCTTTGGCTTGGCTAGCTGTAGCAAGTATCTATCTGTGACTGATAACAAATGAAAGGAGGCTATAAACTTTTCTAAATTATTAAATATATATTTTTAACATAAGTGATTTGTTAGAGAAATACTTTTCCTTAATATCTAGGGATAACTCCAGCAAGTCACATATCACTCATCCATCATGTGATAGGTACTGGCAAGATTACAGTGCCACATATATGGGTAATACCCAATTTGGTAAGTGCTATATTGAAGGAGAGGTTCTCAGGGAAATAGGTAAATGTGACCTAGTCAAGACATCGGGTAAGGAAAGGATCCGTTGAAGAAATGACAACTAGGCTGAAATGTAAAAGACAAAAATAGGGGTTAACTGAGGGGTGGGAGATAACACGCGTTCCAGGAAGACAGGACAGCATGTGGGCTCTCACGGCACGTGAGGAGGGAACCCTGCACTCTCCAAGAACTGACGAGGCCAAGAAAGCTGGAGTACAGAAAATAAGGGTTTGGTGAGGGAGGCAACAGCCACACCAAGCAGGGCTTCCGAGCCCATGTTAAGGATTTTGGTCTTTATCCTAAAAGATCAAACAAGATTAACAGAAATAAAAACCTCTGCTGGACTTAGTGAAATAGAAGAGTATATTGATTGACCTTATGGAGAACTGTTTAGGAAGATGGAAAGAGACTAGAGAGGGTGGAGGAAGAGGTATGGAAATGGAGTTCATTAAATACTGACAACCCTGAGAGATTTGACTGGCAGGAGCAAGAGGGAGGTAACTGGAGTGAGGCATGAGATCAAGATAAAGAGGGGAGGTTAGCGGAAGAAAAGGAGCAAGAAAGAGAGGTAGGTAAATAAGAAAGAGAAGAGGAAAAAAGGAAGGACAGAAAGGGTGGGATTTACCTTAGGAAGACACAGGGAAACTGATTTTTATAAGAGTGCAGATTTATCTAGCTTCGTAGCTTTGAGGGTAAAAAAAAAGACATCATGCCTACTGCCTATGGTTTTCTCTCTGACTAGGGAGCCTGTGAGGGGTCAGCTGGAGGTTAAAGACTGGAGGAGGGCGGAAAAGGTATGAAATAGTCACTACTGTGAATAGGTCGGGGGGACCAGACTGCCACGGAAGGACCTGCAAGCAGTGTTAATGATTGCTTATCAACACATACCTGTATGTCTCTCAGCCAGGATCATACAGGTCACAATTCTAGTAAATCATGCTGAAACTCAAGCATCGGTCTCAGAACTCCACCACCTCTATTTTTTCCCCTTCTACAACTCCATGTTTAATTTTGTTGAATTGTGGTTAAAAAAAAAAACCTTATGTAAAATTTACCATCCTTAACATTGTTAAGTGTACAATTCAGCAGTGTAAAGTGCATTTATATTGCTGCGCAACAGATTTCCAGAACTTTTTCATCTTGCAAAACCAAAACTCTATTCCAGTTAAACAACTCCCTATTATCCCCTATTCCCAGCACCCAGCAATTGACATCTCAGTTTCTTTGAGTTTGACTGGCTTTAGATACCTCATGTAAGTGGAATCATACAGTATCTGTTTTATTGTGACTGGCTCACTTCACTTTACTGTATGTAATGTCCTTAAGATTCATTCATGTTATAGCATGTGACAAGATTTCCTTTGTAAGGTTGAGTAATATTCCACTGTATGTATATACCACTTTAGTTTATCTACTCATTCATCTATGGACATTCTGCCTTTCTGCTCCTTCCCTAAGATGTTTAATTAAAAAAAAAATTTTAACTCAGCTTTTAAAAATGTTTCCTAAGTTGCCAATTAAACATTCCTGCCACAAGGCCTTATTGTATAATATATACTCTGCAGCTGTTGACAATTCCTTTTCCTTTTTCCTTCAGTGGTTTGATGATAGTAACCTGGGACATGTATATACTAAAGAAATACATATAATCACATGTACAACAGCAAGCCTTACTTTTAAGTTTACATCTGGGTGGGAGGGTGGACAGCAATATTAAGGAAGTAACTTCATTACCAGCATTCAGATATATGAAAATTTGATATAATAAAATGAATTTGGTTACGCTTAAGTAGTAGCATGTCATAGTTAAACACCTAAGACTGGCTTAGAATCATTAGCTGTATAAACTTGGGAAAATTGCTTAAACACTCTAAACCTTTATTTCTAAATCTGCAAAATGGGGTGTTTAATAGCAGCTATCCCATTGGTGTATAAAGGAGATTAAATGAGATAATGCAAGTACAACCCTTAGTCCAGTGCCTGGGGTATAGCAGGTGCTAAGTAAACATGATCCTTCATTACTATAATTTATCAAAACCTTCCTGAAATGGTTTGATTTGCAAACCTCAGATTTCGATAACTTTTCAAGAATATCAGTTGTGGAAAGTAGAACCAGCACCCCTGCCCCCCAAAAAATGACCGCATAATTAAAGACAGAAAGAAAAGGAGCCCAGGAAAGTCCCTTTGAGTGAGATTCTCTATAAGCATTTACCAGAATGCTCTTAATTGCACCCACAAGACTATGTGTGTCCCAATAGAGGCACTCACTTTCTGAGCAGGAAATTCCCTGTTTTCAGGACCTCTCGGCCTCGTTCATGCTTTTGACATCCTTGCCCCTCACACAGGGCACGAGCGGTGCATCCGAGGAATTGTGACAATCGAAATGCACCCACTCTTTAAAATGCCCTCGGGAGACCATACCGCCCCAAGTTGAGAATCACCAAGAGAACCCACCCCAAATCTTCCAGCGTTCCTTTACTGTCTGTCTTCTAGATTACATCCCGCCACCAAGAGCTACCGCTCCAAAAGTACAGGAGCATCCAGGGACAGGCCCCACCCACAGAGCTAAGAGTTACCTACTGAGGCCATGACACTCTCTTCCTGCCACCTTCGGCATTGCAGGATTCATAATTGAGGATGCTCGCTTCCCGCAAGACCGCCCAACCTCCAAAGGGGGCCAGGGTGCCTACGTTGGGGTGCGAGTTTTCAGCCTCAGCTTGTGGCTGAAAATTATGTCGCGTCCTCTGACCTCATTGCCGGAGACACGATTCTTGGCGAAATTCGCGCCGCGGACACACTATGGGATGAGGAATCAGAGGGACCAGACTCAACCATGGGCTGCGCGAGACGGCAGCCAGGTTCCAGCGGACCAAACCCTGCTTTGATCCTCAAACATCTCGATGGCATGAGCCGCAATGCCGACGCGCACCACTCAAACTGGGGAGGGGCGGGACTGTAGGCCCAGAGCTAGGGAAAAGCGGGCATCATGCACAACTGGGGGCCTGAGCCCCGAGGAACTTCACGGCCAGGAGCTCTCCCCGAAGAACAGATCACATCCCTGCCCCCCCCCCAGTTTTCCTTCTACCCCGTCCGCCCTTACCCGAATTTACCGCCAACAGCGCCGCCATCTTGGAGGCGTACTAACGGAGCGCTCCTGCCGCACGGAGGCCCCAGAGAAGGTGAGGCTGCCCGAGCCGATGCCTGAACAGAAAGGCACCACGGTGTCCCTTCGGGACAGCACGCTTCCCGACCCAGACATTCAAGGACTCCAAAATTGGCTCTGGGTCACCGACTTCTATTTCCGTTCAAATAAGTAGAGGGCAACCAGTTCCTTGAGGCCCTCGACTTGACATTAATCCTTCAGTGCATCCTGGGACGTGTAGTTTCTAATGGTGAATTTAATTGGTCAAGTGGGACAGAAAAATATATATGACAAGTTTATAAAAATGACGCCCTTTCGTGACATTATAACCTTAAATTCAAATCGTCATCTCCATTTCAAATTAAATCTTCCTTGCATTACTGCCTTACACTGGGGAGTGGAGTGGTAAGGTACCTAAACCTCAAAAAGACATTTGTTTATTTGATGGATTGCAAACTAAATTTTCATCGCATTTCAATATGCCAAGCGCATTGCATCAACATAGTTGCATTGAGTGAAACAAACCGAAGTGCAATAAGGCAAACTTTCATTATGAAATTTTCAAATGTATACAAAATGAGAATAATGCATGCCCAACTTCAATAGCATAGCCAATTCTTGTACTTCACCTCCAAGATAGGAGATCATTTTGAATCCACGTATGTTATTTTATAAACAGCAAATATTTTTCTACCTAAACTCCCAAATAGCTGGGCCTTCTTTTTTTTTCATTTGCTAAATTTCAGTGTGCTAATTTTCAAACTAAAATATAGTTCTTACCATTTATTATCATATGCCATGTATTTATTAAGAATGTTACATTATCTTATTATGTAGTAGCAGTAATAATAATCATTATTAAATTATCTCATTTAATCCCTTAAACAATCCTGTTAGGGAAATTATAAAATTATAGCTACTATTCTCAGAGATATTCCATGTGCCTTACAATCAATCTCACTTTATTGACTCTAACATTCTACCGAGGTTGGAAGTAAATTGAGTTTATATTCCCATTTCACTCTTTGGGAATCAAAATTAAATCATCTAAACAAAACCACAGAGTATGTTGTTAAGAATACCAGGCATATTCATTCTTTTGTACAAATGATATTGGGTGACACAATGTACATTAGCTGGAACACAAAAGTCACTTGATTTTTTTGTAAGTCATTGTTATATAAGGACAAATGCCAGACTACAGTGAAAGTGGTTTTAAAGAGTGAGGGGGAAGAGGGGAAGAGAATGAAAAGGCAAAGAGCTCTTACCAGAAGTTGAGCATAAAAGGGAGAAGAATATTGAGCAGAAATTTAGCAAAAAGTGGCATTCAAAGATTCAAAGCACAACTACTAAAGCCTTCCCCCATACACACACTCTTTAAGCCCACACACTTCTCTCTCCATAGATCACTTTGCTTTCTATGATGGAACTCTAACTTCCTGCAACTCCCTCTCGCCCATCATTACACTCACAAGCATTCTCGCGCAGGCTTCCTCCATCCATGGCGACTGGGACATTGCCATCATAACTCCTCTAAAACTGCTCTAAGTATGGTCACATTGAAAAATAGATATTTTTCTTCCATGTTTCTAGTTCTTCTTTTTAAGTTTTCTGCATGGACTTCTCTTCCTCCTCTCACCCATTAAATGTAGCCTTTCCTTTTTGATCATCCCCGAGTGTCTGTCCTTTTCCTTCTACGTGCTTCCTCTGGGAAATCTTATGGCTTCTTACCACCACCACCTGTTTGCTGATGAATTCTGTCTTTGTTACTCTAGTCCAGTCCTCTCTCCTGAGATTCAGATGTGCGTACCAAACTTGTCTAATCCTCGTCTCTATTGACTGTCACACAGGCATCTCAAAATCAATTAATTGATTAATCTGACTTAAATTAGCACTTTTCTCTCAATACTCTGTCACCTGTATCCACTCAGTTGCCAAAGTCAGAAACCTGAGCGTCATTCTATATTCTTCCTTTAAATGCCTAATCCTATTCATTCTGCCTCATAAATACTGCTGGACCTCTCTCTACTCTTTTTCCTATGCCATTGTTCTCGTAAATCTCAGCTTCTTCTCCTTGTATTTTGTAACAGCCTCCTCACTAATCTTCCTGATTTCTACCTCATCCCCCTCTAGTGGCCTCCCAAAGTGATTTTCAAATGCACGAATGAAATCATGTACTTGCCCTGATCAAAATTCCTCAATGACCTATTCCCAAAGGGTACTGTTTGACAAATTCTACCAAGGCACTCATGTACTTCCTGATGTGGTTCAATCTCCTTCTTCAACCACCTCATCCCCATTCTTTCCTCAAGTGCCCTTTTTTCTAATTGTTTGAATCATTTGCTATTCACTAAGTACCACATGCCTTCTTATCCCATGTCTGAATGTCTCTGCTGCACCTGTTCTATCTGGAATGTCCTCCTTCCCCTCCACATTCCCCTGCTGACCACCCACTAAGCTAACCTCCCAAACACACTCCATCTCCATCTCCCAAGTCTGAGGGCCTGTGTTAATGCTGCCTCCCTGATGCTATCCTTCATCTCCCCCAACCAATCAAGGTCTTTTTCCCTATTCCACTTTTACCCACCTCAATTATAACTCTAAGTGCTATGATGATTGTCTCTCCACTAAAACTGTTAGCTCCGTGTGGCAGATTGTTATCTCTAAATTCAAACCAGTGTATAATCCTCAGCCACACTGAATCTTGATGGGCCTTATGGCCTGCTTGAGCCAAAAAATAAAAATGCACTGGAAGTGAAGCTGGGCAAGTTCCCAGCCTAAGGTTTAAGAGGCCTTGGGCTGCTTCCACTTTGTTCTTTTGCTGCCCTGAGACACTCTGTAAAGAAACCTGAACTAGCCTCCTTTAGGATGAAAGACCATGAGAAGGGAAGCCTGGCCAGCCTCCAAGTGTTTGAGCTATCCCAGCTGAGATGCCAGATGTGAGTAAGGCCATCTCGCTTCCTCCAGTCTTAGCTGAACCAGTGGTTGATTGAAAATGGGTAAGTGAGCCAGCCCAGATGGCAGAATTGTGAACAAGTAAACAGCTTTTGTTTGAAGCTACAGTTTTGTGGTTTGGTATGTTCAATGAACTTACCCTTGGAGAGCAACAACTACGTCTTTTTATTTCATTCCCTGATCCTTCCACATCTCTGGCTTGCAGTTACAATTCAGAAAAAAGCAATTTGGAGAGCTTGGTGCTTCCACAATCTACTGGAAGAAAGAGAGAAAGAGAGAGAGGGAGAGGGAGAGGTCACATATACTTTTTGTTAAGAATATAGACCCTGGAGGCAGGCTTCCTGGGTTCGAATTCTAAGTCCATCACTTGTTAGCTGTGTAGCCCTCCTCAGTGGTTCATTTTTCACATCTAAATGGGGATAATATTAGTAACTACATTGTAGAGCTGTTAAGAGACTTATTTGTAAAGTGCTTAGAATGTACCTGACCCATAGTGCTATACTGAGAATTTAAGTAAAAGTAAACTATTTCTAAGTGCTAAATGGAGGCATATTCAATTACTTAGGACTAGTTTAATCAAGTTTTTAAGAGTGCACTGCAAACATGGAAGCACTCAGCAATGAAACAATTCGGATTTTCCTGGGGCGAGGGACAAGACTCCACTCCAGTCCAAATGGCCCATTACTTTTACTTTTCCTCATAGCTCCAATCAGTTGAGCTTTACCTGGCTGCAAAGAGTGCTTTGAGATCTTACAATAAAGACAGTTATTTCTTATTTGGAGTCTAGGAAATGACAACTAGGTAAAATTAAATGAAGGAGGCAGTGCTTGAATAGACAGAAGTAAGCCTAGGGGGGCAGGGAGAAAGGGAACAGACCAATGAAAACGTAAGGAAGTCTGAGGTCTAGTGTTTACAGAGCAGCAACAACCACTCTGGACATGGCTGAGAAATTCAGGTGTTTTAAATTCTGTGATTTTCCATATCCTGCCCAGTGGAGCACCCCAGGCTTGACAGATTCACCATTATGTGTTGACCCCCGTCCATGGCCAGCTACAGGTTTGCAGTTGCAGAACTGTTGGCCTTGAAGTAGTGGACGTCTTAGGTGAAGTAGGAAACAGATTTGCCCTAAATTTTTCCCCCAAGACACAGAACCACAGTGCAGCCAATGGGTCCTGTGGAACAGCTTTCCTTCATAGACTGGATTATTGCAACAGCCTCCTAACTGATCTCCTACTACTTTCAGTCTCTCTTATTTCCAATTCACTTTCCATACTGTTACCGGAGGGATCACTTCATCCTCTTCCCCTAAAACCCTTCACATTCTTGGCACTGTCCTGAGGGGAAATCCCCTTCTGAGAAGGACATACAAGGCTCTTCAGGATCTGGCCCCTTCAGGCCTCATCAGTTTAACTTACATATGTTCCCTCAGGCTCTTCTTCAGTGACTAGCAGCTACTTAGATACACATTCTCAGCCCCTCCAGCTTCCCAAGTCCCTTTACCAGTACAGTCCTATTCTTTATGAGGTCTGCCTCTGGCTAAGGTATCATATCTTCCTTCCCTCTGAATCTTCACTGGTACTTTCTTCTCTTCCTAGAATACATTTAGCCCCTTCAGTATGGCTACTCCTCTCAGGAATCACCTCCCCTCAGCATACTTATGCCTAAGGCTGTATTAAATGCCCTCCTATGCTCACCCATAATGTATTAGAATTTCCCACAACTTTGTCTGTCCGACCTTTTGGACTGAAAGCTCCACATAGAAGAGTAGAGGTATCCAACAGGGGCCAAATAAACATCTGTTGAATGTATAAGGGTGAGGAAAGGTCAAGCTGTGGTCTTCTACCCATTGCCTAACCACAGGTGGTCTGTGGGCTCCTTGGAGATGACTTCATAAACCACATCTCTCTTGCAAGTGCATAGAAACTTTTAAGAAAGAATGCTGGGTCTCTCTTTTCCTGATGCATGAACTCTTAATACAGACCTGAGAGGATAGGGTAATCCATATTTCCTCTTATGAAAAGCACCAGAGCTCCAGCTAAGGAATTAGCTGGTTGAATCCCCCTGAGGGGTTTCC